AAAAAGGCTTGCATCGAGTCACGTGAGTCCATGAAATTTAATTTTATAGGGTTGTAAACTAGACTATTCGAGCTCGGATTCAAGCCGAACTTGAATAAACAAGTCGATAAATGAGTTTGAGCTTAATTTGTTTATGAGTATTAACAAACTAAGCACAATTTTTCATTACCTGGAGTTGACTCTTACATAATGGCATGATTGGCTATAAAATATTTTGGTTTTGATTGCATTTATTGGATAAAGTAGTTGTTTAGAATAAGTTGATTGAGTGGATAATTAAGCGGGATTTTGAGTCTGTATTTAAATAATATTTAATATTAATGTAATTTAAAAGTAGAAAATAAGCTGTTGGATCTGATGAATATTTAAAAATATGTAATGTGTAAGAACTATTGATTGATAATATTGATGAGAGTTAACTTGAATGTTGAGTTGGATTTTAAATTAAAGAGTAAAAAAATTATCCTATCAATTAAAATTTGACAATTTCTATAGCCAATCGCCTCGTAAATAATTTTATTTTTTGAGACTCAACGAGTTGAGCTTATACAAGTTTGAGCTTAGTTTGTATATCTAACGAGCATGAACAAGTCAATCTGGGGACTTAATGAGCCAAGCCAAGCGGAGCTAATTGAATGGTTCATTTTGTTTAATTAACTGCATATAATAACTAAAGATTCAACCATATACAAATACAACTATGAAATATTGAAATATCGAATGAAGGTATTGTAATCTGTAATGATTGAAGTGCATTTAGTCGATCAAAATTCAATTTTCAAGTATTCCAGGGAGACATAAAATTACAGTCTCCCAAAAAAATCCACAGCACCCCCAAGTAATAAGTACATTGATAACATTTGGTTTAGCCAATTAAAAATCATAATCTCAACTAATCCACCAATAATTTGCAAACCTCCAATTTCCTGGCGCACGTGCGACTCCTCACAACCGCGGCCCCACTATCGTTGACCGACCATTTGTTACTACTCTGGAAAATCACCATCGACCTTGACTTTCTCAGCCTCACCGTGGCCGTTCTCACACTCGATCCCACCTTCCATTTAATCTCATCACGGATAACTGAATCCGTCGGCGGCGATTTTATCTCACCGCCTCCCCCCGTTGACCTTGACCCACTCGCTTCCCCTGCACTCGCCGCACTGGACACTTTCCCCTTCCTTTTGCTCCTGCCCTTCACCAGCTCCCCGCTATCGTCCATCTGCTCGTACCTCCCGGCGCGTGACCCCACGCGCCTCCGCATCCCGCCGCACGACCCCGCCCGCCGCCTCATCCCCTCGTACACCCCACTCAGGCACTCCACCACCTCCTCCATCTCCGGCCGCCTCCCCGCCTCCGGCCGCACGCACCTTGCTGCCAGCACCGCCATCCGCCGGAGGGCGGCGGCGCCGCCTTCCTCCGGCGGCCCGACCCTCGGGTCGCAGATCGACCCGAACTCGCCGGTCCTCACCGCCGGCACCGCCCACTCGACCACCGACGGCGGGCTATGGCCTACGTCTATCGGGCTCCGGCCCGTTATCAGCTCGAGCAACAATACCCCGAAGCTAAACACGTCAGACTTAGTGCTGACGTCACCCGAGTAGACGTACCCCGGGTCGAGATATCCGAGCGTCCCTGCTGGCCGGGCCCGATTCGGCCCGACCCGCAGTGCCAGCCCGAAGTCGCTGACACGACAGTTGGATCCGCCGTCGATCAACACGTTCAACGACTTAATGTCGCGGTGGATGATCGGCGGGTCCGACCCGTGCAAAAAACAAACCGCCCGGGCGACCTGGACCGCAAACCGGGCCCGGTCGACCCACCCGAGCGGTTTCCTCCCGGAACCGTGGAGCAAGTCGTAGAGGGACCCGCCCGGCATGTACTCGACCACGAGCAGTTTGCGTCGGTCGGGTTCGGGTTCGTACCCGAACCCGATCAGGTTCACGAGGCGGGGATGATGCTGAATTGCAGACAGAATCCCCACCTCGTTTTCCGCGGCGGCCACAGAGGCGTCGTTTGGCTTCGTCCGTTTGACGGCGGCCACACGATTTTTCGGGCGGAGACGAGCCTTGTACACGGAGCCGTGGCTACCTTTGCCGAGGAGGTTATCAGGCGAGAAGCCATCGGTGGCGGCGTGAAGTTCTGAGAAGTCGAATTCGATGATCTTGACGGGCCTTTGGTAGGCGGCCTTTCGGGTCTTCTTAGTCAGAAGCTCGTAAGTGCCGCAAGTGGCGATGGCGGAGTCGGCATTGCAGGAAAAATAGCCCATGGATTAGCTTCTTGATGAGAGGGTAAGCAAAAGGCCATGCTTGAGAAGAAGAAGAAGAATGGCAAGGGAAAAGGGGAAAAAGAGGAGTATAAAAAAGGGGAGATGGGAGATAAATCTCATTTAAAATCTAATGCATCCTCTTTACAACTTTAGGACGGTCTTGAAATTAGAGCGGTGGGTAATATGATTGAATGAATGTGTAGAGAATTTTAAAAAGGGGAGGTGGATGTGGGGATTATGGAGATATGAGTTTTCTTGTGGTCTTTAAATGGAAATAATATTTAATTGAAAATGTGGGAAGTGGGTAGTGGTTTATAAATGTTATTAATGGTGTGTTTAATTTTTATCATGTTTGGATTAGGTCGTTGTCATAGAGTTCAAAGATATGTGCATCAAAAATTGGAGTCATCCCATACTTTTATAGTTTTCTTATGAAGTCATTCACCACTTAATGTATTGACATCAAATATATTAGAATATATGTTCATCTTTAAGAGATATTATGGAATAATAGATAAATAGAGTATGAAATAAGATTGAATTAACTAAAATTAAGAAAATTAAGATGTGTATGGTATATTATTTTATTAACGCAAAATTGTAAAAGAAATCGCGAGTTTTCTTAAATTGTAATTTAAATATAACTTTTTTTGAAAATTTAAGGCGCGATATTTACATTTTTACAAGTTTATATTATATATAATAAAAATTCGAGGAGTACATGTGAATAGAGTTACGGTTTAAGTCTGGGCTGAAGTAGCTCCTGATTTACTTCGTTTATGGAAACCCTAAACTTTATGGTTTGAGAATAGAGTTACGGTTTAAGTCAATGGGTTTTAGGACTTCTGGCATCAACTAAGTCGAGCTTCAATTGATGAGGTAGCTCGGGAACATGATTGAATCTAATCCAATTTTAGCATTGTGCAATTTACTGTTAGAAGTTGTGGTATGTATATATGATTTACATTTTTTTATATTTATTTTTCTCATTTAAATTGAAACATTGTGGTAGTTGTAGTTCTTATTTTTTTGGCCCATGTCTTAGTAAAAAAAAAAAAAAATGTCACTTAATTTCAAAATTAAAGAATTATTAGTTAAATTATAATTAAAATAAAGGTAGTAATGTATTTTGCATTAGTTTTGAAGTAAAGTGACCAACATAGTTGATACTACTCAATATATAATTTTATTTTTATTGATGTTATTAGAAACTATTTCATTTTTTAAAAATTCAAAGGCGTGCAGCGCTTTAATAGAGATGGGGTCAATATGCCTCCTCCACATCGGACCAGTCTACACATCTTTATTTCCTTCTTTTTGAAATGTTGATTTCGTTAATTTAGTCATCGGTTTTTAATATTATGAGTCTGTTAATCTTCACACTTAATTAGAGTAAAAAGGAAAAAAAAAATGAAAATGTGATCATTGTTGAAATATGTTGCTAATCTCGTGATATATATTTTAGTGCACCTTTGATTGGTCTAGAATAAGATTAATTGTATTTTGACTTTAAATATTTTGCATATCTATATATATATATAATTACTAGCTCAAAACATTAAAGAAAACCTCATAAATTTTATCTAGCTGGCACTTTTTTCCAATTCCCGCCAATTTTCGTTACATTTTATTTATTTTTCGTTTTTTATTTTCTTCAATCAAGAACAACTCAATTTTGGGGATGAATAAATGTATAAACTTGGAAACAAAACAATTCTGCCATTAATACGAGTTATTGAAAATGTTCACAAATTTTTTTAAACAATTAATTAGTCTGCTCAGTATATTATTTATTTTGTTATACATAGTATCTTGAAATAAATTAACGAACAACAAATAAAAATTAAATAAAAGAAAATACAACCACCATAAAAACAAATTATAAATGAATATAAAATTCAAAAACTCCTTCTCAGCAATAGTGTTTGCAATTCCTGCAAAAAGAAGAAAATTACATATCAAATTTGTAGTAATTATCAAATTAAAGTTGCAGGCATGTATATATGGAATTATTTTCATCAAGCCGTTAAAACTATTTTCATCTAGCCTCATTGACTGCTTTCTTTCATCTAGCCGTTACAAGTTGAAAATCATTTAAGATTTTTTAACAATATAATTATTTTCGAAATGTACAGATCTTAGTAGATCTGTTAACAATATCATATAATTAAAAAAAACGGAACATATAAAATTTTGAAATTCATAAATCTCGAAAGATCTTAGTTGTAATCGACCGAATTAAATCGAAGTACTAATAATCTGTAAGTCGATTTTGTAACTTGGTCTACTTTGCTATTAATTAAAAAAAAAAACTCCAAAAAATATTTTGAAAACGATAGATCTTCCAAGATCTTATTTGTAATCGTCCGATTAAAACGAAATATTACAAATCAGTAAATTGGATTTTTAACATCGGATCGATTTTTATTTTTCGATCTCTTTTTACCTCGAAAATGCATTTTCGAGGTGTTTTTTTCCCAATTTCCGTTTGTTCAACGAAGCAAATCCTCGGAAAATCACACGTTGTTTTTCATTATCGGCAAAATTTTTTTAAGAAAGGCTGAGAAAAAAGGTTTGGGTTGGAGAAACTTAGAACAGAGAGAGAGAGACACAGAGAGATAGATCGCCGACACAAGCAGAAGAAATGATGTGATTTCAGCCATTTTAGGGTTTGGACCCGTTATATATTATGGTTACACGTATGTGGGCCACGTGTCTCTTTAACATCCTACGGAGAAGTTTTAAACTGAGCTGGAATTTTCATGTTATAAAAACAAGCATATGGACGGGCTTAAATTGGTCTTCAACAATGCTTAAATTTGGCTGGATTTGGAACAATATGTATGTAATTTTAAATTTTGCTTTATTTTGAATGACTGATCCAAAAGCCGTATGGACCAAATATGCAAAGACTGGCGCAAAATAGTTTCACCAGCTAAAAAATAAAATTATATCTAAACTTTTTAGCAATAAAATTTATTACATAATTTAACTATACAAATTTAAATATTCTGAAATAGGTATAAATTTATATGAAATTATTAACAATAAATGTTATTATTACATTAATTCATCATATCCCATTAATAATAAAATATTTTCTTACACTTTTTTTATTAATTAAGACAAAAACCGTTAACAATTATATTTTTTATTGTATCATATAATAGTTATTATTAAGATTAATAATTATATTTTACACTAAATGATATATGAAAGTTAAATAAACATAAAATATTATATTGTAAAAACTTTTTGTTTAAGTTATTTATTCTAAAATCAATATGATATTTTTTTATTTGATTAAGTGATAGTATTAAAAAAATAATTTATTTTAATGTTATAGTAAAATTACTTAAAATTTCATAAGCAATTGTTATAATAAATTTAATATTTTTTAGCTAATTAATTAGTCATTGTCCCTCAAATTTATAAAAATTACATTATTTCTAACATTTATGCAATCAATATAAGTGATTCATATGCTATTTCTTTTAACCAATGATTAATGTAAAACATAATACCATTTTCTAACTTATAACTCATAATACTCTATGTTTAAAACATAATACCATTATCTAACTTATAATTTTAATATTATATGCATATAAGTAACTTATAATACTTTATTTACATCTGTGCAAATGCACAGGTCAAATATTAGTTTTGTTGATTGCTATATCATTAGGCAGGCAAAAGTTGACCAAAAACATTTATTATTGTGATTAAACTCATACAATATTCAGTCAAAAATACGAATAATTAATTGTCATGGAGTAGAGGAAATGATTTATTTGAGATTTTTCGGTTGCTATTTTGTTAGGTGTGCGTAGTCACACTCCTCTAACAAGTATGCATAATTTCATATTCAAAAGTTATATTTTAAAATATAATATTTAATAATATAAATATTCATTTCTAATTAAAAAAAAGTATGATTGCGTAACTTTTAGATAATCCAAACCCATAATTTGTGGTTGCAACATTAGGAATATTTTTTTAGGTACAAAAATAACTAAATTTTTAAGGTTTTGGGTCTATCTATATGTAACAAGTATGCATAATTTCATATTCAAAAGTCATATTTTAAAATATAATATTTAATATAAATATTCATTTTAATTAAAAAAAAGTATGATTGCCTAACTATTAGACAATCCAAACTAGACATGGTCAAAGGGTCGCTTGGTCCGCCGACCCGGCACTGACACGGCCCGGTCAAACCCGTTGACCACGGGTCCGGAACCGGCCCGAATTTCAGACGGGCCGTGTAAGGGTCATACATTTCATGACCCGGCCCGGAGGGTCAGGGCCGGGCCGAATCAATGACCCTTCTTTTCAATTTTTTTTTATTTTTTTATACCTTTTTCTTAAAAAAACAAGGACCCGACACGGCCCGGACACGACCCGGCTAGGACACGGACCCGGCACGAGTACAGGTCCGTGCCGGTTCAGGGTCAGTGTTTTTGAGCCCGACGACCCGGCGGGCCGGGCCGGGTCGTGACCCGGCCCGGATTTTGGCCATGTCTAATCCAAACCCATAATTTGTGGTTGCGACATTAGGAATATTGTTTAGGTACAAAACAAAACATAACTACATTTTTAAGATTTTGGGTCTATCTATATGTATTTATTTGGTACAAAACATAGATTGAGAGGTAACGTTTTGGGTCTACCCATAACTCATATGGTTGCAAACTTTTGTACTTTGGGTTTAATTGGGAAGAGAAATAGATAATAAATTATAGTTTATCATTAAAAAATAAGGTATTAGTGCGTAAATAATATTAGATTGAAATTTCAAGATTTATAATTGTGGAATAACTAAGGCATGAGTTAATACACGATTTTTATTTATTTGTTTGGGTTATATAATATTATTTGAATTTTTTGTGGACATATATGATATGTGGGTTTAAATGCCACCGAACTGATTAGTGAGATTGACATCTAATGTAGTGTTGGTGTCGTCATGACATTAAAATGTGCTATGGGCTCTTTTTGTTGAAAAACATGTTAAGATGTGCTAAGGAATTGATTGCTTAAGTGATTTTCTATTTAGTAACTATCAAGTGTCAATGTTACTGGTTAAATACTTATTTGACATTTGCAACAATATATTCACGTTTAATGGGATTGATTGAAAAATTAATAGCTCTTGAAATTTGGAGGGCCCTGTTACATTATCAAGTGCAATTTCTTATTGCAGATTACACTATTTAAAAAATTTTGAGCTTATTTAATAGGTTTCTTGAATGATTTTTCAAATAAACTTATTAAAATTTTTATTTCAACTAATTTATCAGTTAATTTTGTAAGACACTTTATCATATAAATTAGTTTTTCAACCATAAATTATACGCCATCAAAATCAAAATTTACTAAATACTATAAACTAATTTATCAGTTAGAGACTAACTTATCTGCTAAATTTACCACACAGCTTAGTCAATCCATCAAAATAAAAGCCTCATTTTTGCTCGGTTAGTGCCCGATACCTTGCGAAAAACCCAGGACCGTAGCCTTTCAAAGGTAAGCGTTGCACTATTTTACTTTATTTATTTATTTTAATTTTCGATTTAATTTCCTGTAGAATTTCCATTTCCCGTTTTCATATTTCCATGATTGTTGTTACTTTTGTTGTTGTTTGAGTTATCTGTATTACTTTTTTTTAGGGATTTTATCAGCTAGGTTTTTAACAATTTATAGTATGTGGTTCGTTCTGAGGTGTAAATATGTTAGTATGAACAATTCGATACTTGTTTGATGAAATCCCTAGCACAGTGTTACAGTCATAGCGTTTGAATGAATCTGATCGGGTAGCTAGGGTTTTCGCCATCGCCACTCGTCAATTTATCTTTTGTACCCTAATTGTTAGAAAAAGTTTTGCACTTGCACTATAGTTTCTGATTTCGGTTCCCTAGATCTGCAACAGTTTTCCCTGAGGGAAAGGAAAAAGGGTGCATTTTGACGTGCTATTTGGGGTGTTCTTGGTTGAAGTGTGCCATTATCTCTTGTAATTTACTCAGTTTGGATACCTTTTTTGAGTCTTGTCCTCTGGAAATATATTTTCTTTTCAAGTTTGAGCTCTTTTTGTATGTGTTTTTTTTTTGTGATTTATTTTGACATTGAATTCCTGCTTCATGTTAAAAGTACTGAAAAATTCTGATTCAATTGAGAGATGGGTAAGAGGAAGTCAAGGGCAAAGCCGCCCCCAAAGAAGCGGATGGACAAACTCGATACTGTCTTCAGTTGTCCTTTCTGTAACCATGGATCTAGTGTCGAGTGCCGTATGTAAGTGTTCATGAGACATTGTGAAACTTGTTTCTGCTGAACGTGAGTAGCTTGACTTTGCAACTAGCATATTATTGTTGGTGACAAATATGTAAACTTCCAGCTTTGGTCTTGTTTAGTTACAGAAAAGAGAATCACTTATAAGTTATAACAATCAATACATGTGCCAAAATCCAATGTTGTTGCCAAATTTGAGGAGTTCCCACTTTTTATGTGCTGGTGGAAGTGTGGAAGGATGAAATTGGTCAAATTTGACATATTGAGCTTCACCAAAATTGAATTCATGTTACGTGCAATTATAATGTTGTTGTATGTTTATTTATAATTTAACCATGTGGTTAGCAGAATTACAGAACGAGTGTTAAATTTTTGTTGCAGTTATTTTTACTTGTTGGTTGAAATTTTGTTTTCCTCGTCCACTTTCACCTATGCATGTGAGTGTGAAAAAACTTTTTTTCTTTTTTTGGGCTTTCAGTGACATGAAGAACTTGATTGGTGAAGCCTCATGCTTGATTTGCCAAGAAAGCTTTAGCACCAATGTGACAGGTACATGCCACTTGTTTCTCTCATTACTAAAATGCAGTTGCTTAACGCACGATTTATGTAGAAAGTTCTTGAATCGTAATAACATTTACTGGTACTTTTTCTCGGTCAATAATCATAGGCCTCCTTTTTTTTTTAGTTTTTTGTTTTTTATTGATGTGAACTAACCTCTGTTTCATACATTATATTATCTGTGCAGCTTTGACTGAGCCAATAGACATGTAAGTGACTGAATTGTCAAAATTTTTAATTTTAATCCCCACTATATTTCTTNATTAATTTTCAAAATTTTCACTTTTCATCCTTACTAGATATTTTTCTTTGAAATTTTCATTTTTCCTTGGTTACAGATACAGTGAATGGATTGACGAATGTGAACGAGTCAATAACCTGGAAGATGACGACTCTTAGTGACCAGTTCCAGTTCAAGCTTATTTCTAGCTTTGAAAACTTGATAGTTTAAGACATGGTTCAGTGCTTAGATATTTCTTCTAGACTCAAAAATCAGCAACTCATGTCTTGGACAAGCTAATTGTGTATGTATATACATATTATGTCGTGCTAAAGTACTAATGGCTGCACCATTGTTCCGTATGAGAAAGGGTGGTGCAGTTGCAGTGTTGTAATAAGAGAATGTGACTGATGGATTATATATTTCCTGTTTCGACACAAATAGTACTTTTTTCTCGTGTTTTTGTGATGTATGCTGCTGAGCATAATGCGAATAAAACTAGAGAAAAATGAGGCGTCATGGGACATTACCATACGCTAACTATAAAATGTTGGAATGGAAGTTGTTGAGTAGATCTGTTATACGAAATGGGATTCATGAACATGAGCCGATATGTTTATGAACACAATTCTTTTTGGCTCATCAAAGTTCAAGTTTTGTTTGTTTGTATATTTAAACGATTAGAGTTTGACATCTAAGTGAGCTTTTTCATTAAGCGAGTTGAGCTAAGTTTAAAGTTTATATTCAATAACCTTTCATTTTATTTATTTATAATTGTTTTATTAGCATTACATGAAATAGTTGATCTGAGCAAGGCTGACTCATTTATTAAATAAACACTACTACACGAGGTCAAAAATGAGTTGTTCAGCTCGGCTCAACTCGAATAGCAGTGTATCATCGATGTAACTAATTTACTGATTTTTTTCTCAATTCGGCTCGGCTCAAATAACACCATGTAACTAATTTGATGATTTTGTGGATGTGTTTACTCATCATAAATTGATTCCTCGTTTGTTTGGGCTTACAAACAAATGGGTTTGGTTTGTTCTTCGGGCCTGTCCAGAACCCGCACAAGGATAATAGAGAATGAGCTCATGGGCCTATATTGTAATTGGGCCTTACTATCCGGAAATCCGTTGACCCGCTTATAGGTTTTGCATGATTAACACCTTCGGGCGTGTTTGGGGCTTGGGGGTTTAAGCTCTGCACGCATAAGCCACAAATGTAAGTGACTTTTCGAATTTTGCATTCTTTGTTCAACCCTTTGTCTGCTTTCTCTATCTACACACTGCGAGAAATAGTTTCAGTAAATCAGAAGGATTGAAGCTGTAAATGGGCCGACCGCCGAGCAATGGCGCCCCTTCTTTCCGCTTTAACCCTGTCGAGGTTAAAACTCTCTCTCTCTCTCTCTCTCAATCAATAAATCATTAATCGCATGGCTTATGAAATAGTTTCTATCGAGTGGGTTTTTGTGAATTTTGGTCGTTTTTTGTTTCTCGCTTAGTTGAGTTTTCTATTAAAATTGTATGCATGATGCATCTTCGCAGTTTGCTTCGAAGACTGCTTAATGACATTCATAATTCAAAGTTCAAACTGCATTTGGCATTGGTCTATTGACATGAATTTTGATGCCATCTGATGCCGAAAGTACACATCTAGGTCGATTCTATTGAATCTATTTTCAACAATTTTGGGAAAAAAATTGAATAGTCTGTATTTTTTTTATTAGTTTCTGCATTGATTTTTGCTCTGAGAAACTAGTTTTCTTCTTGTTTCTTTTATTTATATATATATTATTAATTTCTGTTGTCTTGAAAGTTTGCGGAAATGGAGGCCATTCTGCAAAGGCACAATTGCTCAGTGCCAGGACGTGAAATCATCGAGTCTCTCGCTCAGAAATTTAGGTGACAAGTTGAATTAATTTCTCCAATCTCAGTTTACTTCAAATCATGATTTCACCTCATGAGTATTTACTGTGGTTTCATGTTCATGTAGTGCAACAGCTGAAAGAGCAGGAAAGGTGGAAGTTTCATCTAAACAAGTAATGCGCCACTTCAACTGTGTTCTTATGGTTTGTTCACTCATTACCATCAAAAGAAGTATCAATATATGTCAATATATGCAAACAGGTTTTAAACTGGTTCCAAAATAGACGATATGCCCTCAGAACAAAAGCGGCTAAAGCTGTTGCTCCTAATGAGGCAAAAATGTCTCATTTGCCTACCGTTTTATATTTGCCTCAGGCAACTCAACCTCAGCACGCTCTCTCGAGTGAGTTTTAAGATTTTCTGTTTTGCCTGATTTTGTAGTACTTATGGTGCTAATTTGATAGTATTGTTTTTTAATCCAGCTCTGACAGCAGCAAAAAATGGGGTTCAAGTACATCATCCAGTTCCTGCTATATCAGGTAGTTCTCTCTGATTTAGGCAATTCTTTTCACAACTATTGAATTTTGATTTAAAAAGTTATTATTTGTGGTCTTTTTGTGCCTTGGCTTCTATTGTGTGTGTCTCCAAAAATGCTTCCATTTGTCATGGTTCGGTGTTTGATTATAAGCCGAGTTCCATCATTACAAAGAGTGATAAAAGTCCATCAAATATGAATTTCTTCTCAATAAATGCAAAACATTTATGTATGAACAGCTGAGTCAGGATTCCTTTGTCTGCCATTTGAGGTTCTGCCTCCAGCACTAAATCTTAGACAATTACACGGTTTAATCAGATGAAATAAACGAGTCAAATTTGTTTTGGTCGTCATGGAATAATTAGTTCACTTTCACGACTGGGATTATAGCACACGATATGCTAAGATGCTAATAATCTATTGACAGGCTGCATGTTTACTAGATTCCCAATGCATCTGTAAGTTTCAATGAAACAATTTAGAACTTTTACTTCGTGGCCTACATATTTGTCCTTTTTCTTCTGTTGGCTCCATATTTAAGATTTAAATCATTCTCGTGGATTCATTTTTCTTACTTCTTGTGTCTGTGTGTGTGTGTGTGTGTGTGCAACGCAACCTGCAGCCATGAATGCTTCGGGTGGTTGTCAGATGGAGTTTGAAGCTAAATCTGCTAGAGATGGTGCATGGTTTGTTTGTCTTTTTGGACACATTTTTTATAATTTATTCCATACATGTAACTTTTATAAGAAAATACTTCTTATACTTATTGATCAAAACAAAAGCCATGCCGAACTGATTTTTTATTCTTCTTTTCAGGTATGATGTCACTTATTTCCTGTCGTCTAGATCATCAGAAACTGGGGATCCGGTAATCATTGAACCTTATTATCCGTACAGCGTTTTCATTCTAATTGGATTATCTTATTTACAACCATGAAGTATGTCACATTCAGCATTTTCTTACACGGAATATATTTCTTTTATTATATTTAAGTTATATTTTTCTTTGTATGCCCGTTGTTGTGGGCTCGTTCAGGAGAGTGAGCATTCATACGAGCACAACAGCCCAACTTTTTGTTGATAAACAATTCACTTGTTCACATTTAACAGAGAGGCTTTACAAATATATGCATTTATATTTTTATTCACAGTTATTTATAATCGATTTGGATTACTAAAATTGTGGATTAGTTATCATAATGATGAACTCCTATTAAGCAGTATAAAAACGGGTTATGCATTGAGTATGAACATGTGATCATAACAAACTAAACCCGACTTGCAGGAAGTTCTGGTTCGTTTTGCCGGTTTTGGACCTGAAGAGGATGAATGGATCAACATACGAAAGCACGTGAGACAACGTTCTTTACCATGCGAATCTTCAGAATGTGTTGCAGTTCTACCGGGAGATTTAGCACTATGCTTTCAGGTTTTCCCGAATTTTTGTTCTCTATTTTTTTTCTTCTTTCTTGAATTCTTTCAGTTAGTATTGTGAGATCTATTTATCTTTTAACTTTTTTTTTTTCCTAGGAAGGGAAGGAGCAAGCTCTATATTTCGATGCACATATTCTTAACACAGAAAGGCGAAGGCATGATGTTAGGGGCTGTNTTACCCTACATGTCGAGATATTTATTTTCATCCGTGATTTTCATATCATATTATAGGAAGTTGTTCCCCTGAGGAAGATATGCCGCCGGCCTGAAACTAACTACAGGTTGCGGCAACTTCACGCCACGTCAGAAAATGTAAATTCACAAAAAATGAGCGAAACTACACAAAAGCAGCCGCTCAAGCCCGAGTAACCCGTTCCTATCAGCAGATGAAAATATTAACTCGGAAAAACATTTATTAGCTCCCGGAAAATATGACTTTCTGCTAAAAATCTCGATTATTATACGAAGAGAAATACGAGTAGAGTTGTGGTTTTTTGGGTCGACGAATGCATACACATAGGGGATCATGTGCAGGCTGTGAGCCTGTAACTAAGTTTTTTGCCCACATTTATTTTTTTTTACCTCACAACTGTTTTAATTTCTAAATTTGGCTTTATATGAATAATTTGTTGTGTTGTGATTGAGATGATGATGATGATGATAAGGCACATTGTGCCTCCCTTTTGATTCTTTTGTTTTCAGACTGAATCCATGGCCATGTGTTGGGCTCATATGATGTAATGAGGAATTGCTGGTGGATAATCAACTTAAATAGTTAGATATATTGGTCAAAACAGATCATAAAGTCTAATTTGAAATTGGAAAATGTAATTTTGATAATTGATGTCCATTTTGAAGTTTATTGGACCAAGAAAGTTCAAAAAACCTATTTGTATAATTGTATGTGAATACTTCTTTTCTCGATCATCAGCAGAAGACCTATTTAATAGAACTCGCCGGACGGATTCTATTTTCCGTCCACCACCACAATTTTCACCATCTTTCTACAACTTCCGCAAATCTTCTTCAAAATCTAACACGTCTCTTGATTCCTCTTGTAAAAAAATATGTATATACTATTCATGATTTTTGAATAGATTTTGATTAATTTCCTAGCATTTTTCTAATCATTTTTCCAGCAAGAAGTTATAATGCATAAAATTTGTGTACTATAACTTGATTGCATTTTACTAAAAAAAACGCTGTAAATTCATAAACATGACTAGGACATTTTTCAAAACATAATTTTCACTGATTATTATTCAAAGTATAGAAAAAGAATTAAACAAAAACTAGTTGCACGTGATCTCAATTTAATATCGACAATTCAATTTGATAAAAGCTCGAGTTCAACATAAATGCTTGTTAATCTGAATTATTCGACTTGAAAAAGACTCGAGTTTAAGAAGCTCGAGTTCGGCTTTATATTAAGCTTCTAATTAAGAATCTTGAGGTCGGTTCTAATATAGCTAATTATCCCCAATCTTTAATTAGATTTAACTAGTACGTAACCCGTGCGATGCACGGAATGTAAAATTTAGCAGAATAATATAATCTCACGTGCATTAGGATTGAAATTGAAATCATTAAAATACATAGGAACATTGTTGAATCATAAAAAGTTCGGTAACAATCATAAATTATAAAAACCTCCTTGTACAAAACATTATGAGTTTGATTATTTGATAACTCCTCATTATCAAAAACTAATATTTTCAACCCCCTTCTATTATTTACACGCGAAGCAGCAACATATAATTGGTCGTGACTAAAAACGGGTTTCTTCAGGAGAAGACCAACGTGCGATAAAAAAAGAGTTTTTAAAAATTGAAAAGTCAAGGCAATCAGTTCAGATTAATTAAAGGTCAAAGAATATCCGCTTCTTGAAATAAAGACGTGTGCTATCATTAACCAAATATCCGGTTATTGATATAGAGTGGTTACCAAAAAATAGAAGGCGATAAGGACGCTTCATGGAAATATCAATGGGATAAGGTCATAACATATGGCTATACATTTTACGATAAAAGCTCATATGGAATGATTTAATTAGACGTGTGAAAAGGACATAATTAACAAGAATTGTGAAAATGACATAATTAATGAGAAGTGTGAAAAGGACAAAAACTTACCGGTTTTATAAAATATTTAATGCAAATCCGACATTGATCATAATTTGACCTATTATTTTAGATAAATGTTAATTCTTATTATATAATTATAGATTATTATCACCGATTAAAGAGAAAAATGAAGAAATATATGACAATTGACAACCTCCAAACTCGGGGAGTTTGAAGCTGCAAGAATGTCCACGACGCCACAAACCCTTTTGTGCGGATAGCAACGCCGACACGTAGTCACTCTCCTCTTGAATTCGCACTGCCACTCTACTTATTCCGATCGAATCAAGCAAAGTTTGCCATAATGAAGCTCAATTAGTGATAATCCTCAGGCATGCGGTGGCTGTTGCGGAGGTGTGGCCAATCGGCGGTGTTCGGGAATGGATCGAGCAATTCGTTTTCTCCGTCCAGGTTAGGGTTTAGCGAGGTGAGGAGGAGTTTGGTGACGAGCTGTAGAGCAGTCTTGCTGCAGCGGTTCGGGGGGCCGGAGGTGCTTGAGCTCAGGGACGATGTCGGCATACCTGATCTCAAGCCTAATGAGGTCCTCGTGCGAGCTCGGGCCGTCTCGGTCAATCCGTTGGACTGCAGGGTAGGTTTCTATTTGGTTCTTTTATTGATTTTGTGGTAGTTTTTCCAATCTGAGTATTGAAAATTAGCGTTTTTGTGGTTTAATGTAGCGTGTCTTAGTTGTGAATGGCTGCTTATGAAATTGGTTTTGTAGCTAATATATTTAGTGATAGATGAATTAGATCATAGCTAAAGTGAAAATGGTAAACCGAATGTTCCAGTGACAATTGTTTGGGGATTATCATCCTATCATTGAGAGTATAGAGGGTGATCTATATTCTTGGTTGCATGATAATAGAAAAAGCTGTCGAGTTGGCGACACGAATTCAAGCAAGAACTGTTGTTCAGCTTTGGGTATCAATGAAGATACCTTAGGAGGTTTAGTTAATATTTTCCGTATAAAAATGCCATTTTCGATCAAGATTAGAATTTCCAACCTTGGCTGGGTTGAATCTGTGTGATGACTTAAGGTCTAGTATGACCTAGCATGAATTTATCTACATTTAGAGGTTAAAAGGGAATAAATTATCTAGACTTGCAACGTAAAGGTGGATTTCTTGGCTATAGACATGATCCAGTGCATCCAATCTGCACTTATAGAAGGTGGTTCTTCATTTAATGATAATATCATTAGCTTGATGAATAAACTTATCGGACTAGAGAAGACAGATTTATTGAGACACTACGGGAGTTTATGTACATACATAAGATAATGATTCTTTGATCACTCTGATGCTGTTTCGTTTTGATTTGGTAAAAAAGGTGATGAAGGTCAGTGTGTGGAATGCTGGAATGTAGTGATCCAGTTTTATCACAAAATCGTTGAGTGTCTTGTTTTATGAGAATAGCCTACAACTTCCCTAGATACATACCATGGTTACTGCTTTGAATTTAAGTTCTTTATGAGTCAAATATGTGTAATCCTACTCAACGTTTGACTTAATATATCCCTTCAAATTGTGTAAATCTTTTCTGTAACCCCTTCCAATAAGATGTCATGAAAGTGTAATTTTTTCAGTCATCAATGTAAATTGTTTCCAGATGCGCGAAGGATATGGTCGTTCACTGTTCGAACCACTTTTGCCATTAATATTAGGCCGTGATGTTAGTGGTGAAGTTGCAGCTGTTGGAAGTACTGTGCGTTCTCTCAGCATTGGCCAAGAAGTATTTGGTGCATTGCATCCTACTGCCGTGAGGGGTACTTATGTGGACTATGCAATTCTCGCGGAAGATGAACTTGTTCGAAAGCCAGAATCAATTTCGCACGTGGTTGGTATATGCAGTGCATCTATTCATGGAAAATTCAACATTTCCAAAGTTCACATTTTTTTGCCTGTTTATCTCTTAGAGACATTTCATGTATTTGGTAACTTGCTAGGCAGCATCATATATCAACATCTGCAATAGAAGTAGTGCAGAACTCTCATGCTTCTCCCAGGCTGCCTTACATTTTTTCTTCCTTCATATGGATGCACTTTGCACTTGTGTTCCAAGATGTCCATTAATTCCTCTTTGCATTTGCATTTTTCCACAGTACTACAGTAGGTACTTCTAATACTTAGTATGAGTAGTTGACTCCGTTTTGTATGTTCAACAGGAAGCAAGTGCTATCCCGTTTGCTGCCTTGACTGCTTGGCGTGCTCTAAGAAGCACAGCAGATATAAAAGAGGGGTATGTTGTTATGCTAATCATATGTGATTATATCTCTTCATTAGATCTTCAATTCTTCATCACAAATTGCACATCTTTTAAGCCGAAGGGAAGGGCATTTTTACTAACTAGTGGCTCCAAGAATGGGAACAAAACTCTTGATAGGTTAGAAGCCCAAATATATGCTCTGATGTTTATAATTCATTGTTCACCTTGAAATCAATCAATTTGCTTTTGCTTGAGATGCTGCCTCAGATTGGTTATCAACGTCAGTTTAGATACTCTATCAGTGAACTATTATTATGTTTTTTTCAACTTACTCTGAATGAAATGCTGAAGACTGACATATGATGGATACTAACAAAGCATATCTGTTGTGAATTTGAAATGCTTGCTTGCTCTTATGTTCAATTTATTTGGCGGTTCAACAAGAATTGTACATGCTCTGCATTTTATATTGTAATTTCGATTGCTAATTTAATGTTACATTCTAGAAATTAAATATTGTTATGTATGTACTTCCTTTTCGAATTTGCTAAGGTGATCACATCTTCACAGACAAAGAGTGTTGGTGTTGGGTGGAGGTGGAGCTGTAGGCTTTTCAGCAATTCAGCTTGCTGTTGCCTATGGATGCCATGTCTGTACAACCTGTGGAAGTGAAAGTATTAGCCGTATGTTAGAAGCTGGTGCCGAGCAGGCTGTTGATTATGCAATTGAGGTTATTATTTTTTGATGTGCATTCGTATGAATTGTTGTCTACTTATCTCTGTCTAGTAATGTTCTTTACTTCTCTCTCTTTCTCTCCCTCTCCAGAGCAACGTTTTGAATATTTATTGTTAAATGCATCTATTTGAATTGACATGTATTGAGTTTTATCAGAATTATGAAGTATCCCTTAAAGGATACTTTGATGCCGTGTTAGACACAATTGGGGTACCCGAGACTGAGAGAATAGGTGTCAATGTCTTGAAGAGAGGTGGGCATTACATGACATTGCAGGTATCGAACAAATATCTAGTCATTCTCAAAACCGTGACTATGTTTTATATATTTCTTTTCAATCATTTTATTCTGATGCCCCCTTTTTTTTTTTTTTTGTCTTTTACTAGGGAGAATCTGCATCCTTGACCGATAAGTACGGTCTCATGATCGGCCTTCCCATGTCAACTGCAATTTTACTCAAGAAGCAAATGCAGTATCGATATTCTCATGGAATAGGTTAGTTCGTACATCATGAAACAGTTCCCCATTGTACGATCAGGACACTACTTGAACTTTGTTCATATAAAATTCAGTTTCTAATATGTTATGATTTATTTTCCATAAAATTAATGTGACTTGATTCTGCATAAGTTCTATTTGTCAGTCTTTAATTTTTTTCCCCACTAACTCTCCGTATTGTCATGGCCCAGAATATCATTGGACTTACATGCGGTCAGACGATGAAGGTTTAGAAGAAATTCGCCGGCTGTCTGAGGCCGGGAAGCTGAAAGTTCCAGTCGAGAAGACTTTTCCCATTGCACAGGTTAGAGAGGCCCACGAGGCCAAGGATAAGAGACTCATTTTCGGTAAAGTTGTTCTAGAACTTGATTAAACTTTTATATACCTAAATTTGAATTTTATCGTAAAAAAAATGTGATGCTCGAGCATCTCAATGGTGAATTTGTGGAAATCATCGGCCCACAAGACTTGTAATGGTCAGTGTGTACATTCTTAGAGCAACTTGAATTTTTGTAGTTTTAGTTATGTGTGATTTGGGGAAGATAATCTTTGCACTTAAAGTTAGACAAGTGAGTAGCATCCTTTGTGACCACAACTTTTGAATCTGTTGATGAGAATTTGTCTATTTCGTTTTCCTTGATGTTTAATAATAGGAGGGCATCCAATGGTTTTATGTTATAAACTTTTTTGGTCATTTGAAATATGATTTTGTGTAGTTGGTACTTGGTTGTAAGAACTAATTAGTAATGGATATCAATCTGAATTTGTTGACGAGTCAGATCTATCGAACATTTTATACTATCTCACACAAATATTTGTGATAATTGTTGTATCTCTATCTTTATCCTACTTTGGAATTTGGTACAAATATTGTACTCTACGTAACGTTACATTTTAAGAAGGCTACATTTAAATTATATTTTATTGGTGGTGATACTTTTATGGAAAAAAAAATAAAAAATTATACTATATGGGAATTGTCACTGTCGAAATGAGTTGAAATATCAATATTTGAAATGGATTAATTAAATTGTTTCACATTATTGTTCATGAAAATATGATACTTGACTTCGAAGTTCAAACGAGTACATTGTTATTAAAGAAAATATTATGCTATAACAAACTTAACAAAACTAACCATGAATTATATTAGAGACGAGATTGAAGAAAAACAATTCAAGAGGCCTACAAATATGATGAATTTCAACTTATATCGTAGATACTTATATTTAAAAACGCGAAGCCTTCATTCTGCAAACCACATATCATAATTTGACTAATGCTTCACGCATTCTCAAAGCCAACCAGAAAACTAATAAATAAATAAAAAGGAACTGTGCCTCAAGATAATAATCCAATTAAAGTGGGCTCAAAGCCCAGTTACTATCATTGCCAACAAACCCAATAGTTGACGGCTGGACCACATAATCCCTTATTGCATGTGGGTCTTCAAACTACGACTTTCCACCTACCCATTAAAAACCCCCCAAAATGAAAAGGAAATAACTTTCCAAAAAATCAAAACCCTAATGAATGAATGAATCAACTTTCTTTTCTTTTTCACCACTATATATCTCAACTTTAACAAGGAAAAAGGGACACCCTTTTTAAATATCCATGTTCCCATAATGTGGTTTTGCTTTTTTGCTCTTAACACACGATATGACCTTTTTGTCATGTTATGGTCCGGTCTTTGGTCAAAGCCCTCTTCTCCAAGTAATAAATTTGACCCACCCATCATTATCTAGCTCATTAATTTGCTTGGTTGTCTTCAACTAAATCTAATTAATTCACAAATTAAGACAATCTAATCGTTAGACCGGTCGATGCATCATTTTTTTGTAACAAAAATACATATTTATACTCGAGCAAGTTAATGAACACTCGAGTTTATAATATATGAAGGAATTCAATTTTAAAGTGCTCGAATTCAGTATTAATGAGCACTCAAGTTTACAACTTATAAAATCTGAATTCGAATTTGAGGGCTGGAGCTCGATTAAATCCGAACATAGCAGCCAAATTGGCGAAATTCCATTTCCAGCAAAGAAAAAATAATCCCACCTTGCACGAATATACGCGCTGCGTCCGCGCGTGAACAATTCTATTTGAGAGGGCCAGCCACGATGACGTCCAACCCCAGGTAATTCGGTAAGCAACGGAGACCAACTCTCGACTCCAAGCGCGTGAATTTGAAACGACCGGTGATAGTTGTTGGGGGTGTTCTCACTTGAGCACCAACATCCAGGCGCGTGAGAGAGACATTGTATTTTTTGTTGGTACTGAGAACTTTGTCACGTGCTTCTTGGATTCTTGTGCTGCAGCATGTGATTTATGATTCGTAGAATAGAAGGCCCCCACTTTTAGACGATAATAACAGAAATGCCATTTCTTGTCGTTTTGACTGTGTAACGGCTCGATATTTGCTGTCACCCGTGTCTCATTGAAAATGTGAAATGTCACAAGTCTTGTGTGACTGTTAAGTGATAAGCGAACATTATACTGGTTGATATCGTAATAAAAATAATTTATTAACCATTTACAAATAGTTGTTTGATAAGTAATGGTTTGTAATGTCATTATGTTGAGATTTAATCATTTAATTTATAAATCATTCCTTCTTCAAATGCTCAATATATTTAGCTTTTCAACATTAGCATTTTCAATCAAAATGAAATAGCATAAGCTATTTATCTAACAATAAATTTTACCAAATTGACCGGGCAATTGGCAAACCTCTAAGTGATGTTCAATTTACTACTTTTACACTAATACATTAACATTTAATCGAGCCCGACATCTCGTCATCAATTTTTCACTGATAGATTAACACGTTTATATGTGTATTTGATTTAATAATATATTTTTAGTGAGGATGGTACTGGTCGAACTTGCCTATAGCGAGATGAATGGAAAATAGACATGATTCAATCAATTTTATTTGCAAAATGAATTCTCATATCCAACGAAATTGTGAGAACTTATAATTCAACTTATATATATAATTTACCGTAGTTGTTTAGAACTATTTAATATTAAATTATTAATGCACATTTATTGTCGTTATGTTACAAATAAGAAAACACAATTATACTGTTGAATATCATACTTATATTTATAATATTTTTTCAAAAATATGATATCTTTAATAAAATATACATATTTATAGAAAATTCAATTTAATGATTAGTTCCACCCAAAAGAATAACTACGGGTTTCTATTTATTTAATTAAATTGAGTATGCTTGCCCATATTGCATGGAAAATTGATTCATGCATGATTTGATATACTGTTATTGGATTCTCATATTATCAACCCATAAAGAGTACTATGATGATAGGAAAGGGCCGAAAGGCCATATTTATCTAAGTGGGTCACCGCAAAAGTAAATATTCTTTTTTTGTGTGCTTTCATGTCACTTTTTTGATTGGACCACCTTTTGTCTCATCGATTAAGCTAACGAAATTTCAATTGGAGGATAGCAATTTCAATTGCATGCTTTAACTGATTATAATATTTACTGAAATAATTTAGGTATATAGGCTGATATAATAGTTAATACACAAAGTTGAATTTAATTAGCTGCTAGGACTTTCACATTTGGTGTCAAACTGTCACATAAAGTATTTCCGTACAATTTTATATGGTACTACTTTCAATTTGTTAAAGAATTGTAAATCATTAAATAAATGGCACTACTAAATGAGTGTTTTATACTGTTTGCTAATCTTATGTCCGTCTTAATCATGTTTTTTTTTATTTATTTATTTATTTTTTTTCATATATGAAACTAGGACCAAACATATGGATTGAGTTTGGAATTTTAGTATTTTCACTAAGCTGATACATAGTGAGACAGTTATATTTTTTCAGGAGATCATATATTTTTAAATTGAAATATTATACTTGTAAAAAGTAATATAAATAAAAATATGACATATTGGTCTTCCTAACAGTCAAGACCGACATAAAACGTATGTAATATTCTTAACTTACCATTTGCAATCAGTAAATTGATGTTAGATAAATTTAACATTTGGACAATCGTACATTTCTATATATTTGTATATTTGCAATATTTACAGTTATACATGAAAAAAATATAAATAAAAGTATCATATCTTATAATATAAATATATATTTTTATTTGAAAAAAATGATTTATAATTTTATAATATGCTTTGTCATTCGACATAATTGAGGGTAATATTGTAAACCTAACGCAACAGTTACACAACAGTCTCTCTTTCACAGACACACAGTGGCAGCTCATCATCTTCTTCAGAGATATCTATCTATCTATATGCAGACACTGCAAAACAACCCCACCAAACTTTGCTTTTGATCCCTACACATTGATTATTTTTCCTTTTTATCATCAATCACCCTTTCACCCCTTTTCACCGCCATTCATCCATGCCCACAACAAAAAAACACCAGTAAAAACAAACAAAACCCCCCCACACACAAATAAAATTCAAGAAAATGGACTTAATAGATCACAATCACAAACCCAATTTTCGCACCACAAGCACAGGCCACACCACCACCACCACATCCACCGCCGCCGCCGCCGCGGCTAATGAGCTTCTCATTTGCTTCGCATCCCGCCCTTCCTCCACCTCGTCATCCATGAAGCTCACCCGATCCCTCCTCAGTCCCGGCCGCGCCGCCCGCGACGCCGCCGCCGGAGCCGTTGCCGGGCCCGTCTCCCTCTCCTCCTCTCTCAGCCGCCGCCTCCGCTCCAACGGCAGCCTCAAGGGCGGAGCGTCCCCCTTCCTCGCCGCCACCGGGAAGCGCCGCGCCGGCGGCTTCGAGAATCCGGAGCCCTCCTCCCCGAAGGTCACCTGTATTGGCCAGGTGAGGGTGAAGACGAAGAAAAAGAAGAAGCAGGCGAAGCAGACGACCCGGAGCCTCTCCAAGAGACTGGCCGGCGAGATCAGCTTCCGGAAGGCGGAGCAGCCGACCCCGGTCGACGGAGGCGGCGGCGGGGACGCGACGCAGGTTAGGTACTCGAACGCCGGGGGGCACTACCACAACCCGCCGTCGCAGGAGTGCCTGCCCCACCGTAACCAGAGGTGGGTCCACCTGCCGATCTCGATCTGCGACGCCCTAAAGGAATTCAGCTGCTTGTTCCCCTGCAAGAGCTCCTGCTTCTCCAGGGACCGGGCCGAGGAGAGGTCTCGGGACGGGCCCGATGAGGGCGGTTGCCGGTCGGTCTTCGCGCGGTGGCTGGTCTCGGTGAACGACGGCGAGGGCGAGAGGAGGCAGGAGATCGAGCTGGTGGTAGGCGGCGGAGACGAGGAGGACACGGCGGCGGAGGCGACGGAGGAAGCTAGGGTTTCGATGAGGTGCTCGAGGAGGCACGTGTTCGAGGATATCGAGGTTAGGGACGATAGGATTGAGATTAAGGGGCAGAGTTTGGAGGATGAAGGAATTGAAAGCGCGAGGGTTAGCATCTGTATACCGCCTAAAAATGCGCTCTTGCTGATGAGGTGCAGATCTGATCCCATGAAAATGGCGTCCCTCGCCGGAAGGTTCAGTTGGGACTCACAAGGTGCTTGTAAGAATGACTCTGAGATGAACGAGGATGAAAAAATGGATGAGGTTCTTGAAAAGCAAGATGAAGTGCCAGCTTGTGAGGGGAAAGGTGAAGTCTTTGGGGAAATAGTTGATGTATTGATCAGTAACAGTGAAGAACAGGAAGAGATTACGGATGAAGCTGATGGAGAAAATTTGGAATTGTTCAGGGAAGCTGAAAATTTTGAGGAAAATAAGGAAGATGAGTTGTTGGAAGAAAATTTGGAGGAAATGGTTGAAGAAAAGGGACAAGGTGACATTGAGTTGGAGAAGAAGATTTGGTGTAATGATGACAAATTGATAGAAAATGATGATGAAATTGAAAACGAAGATGAAGACGATGAAGAAATCGAATCTAATATGTCCTCATTCGAAGCTCTTTTAAACCATGAGAATAGTACAGAGCATTATGAAGATGGCTCAATCGTTCAAGACGAGGAAGAGGAAGAAGACCAAGAAGAAGAAGAAAAAGAAGGGAATACTGAAATTAGCCAAACACCGCCAATGCTGGAGCAAGAAGAAGCTTTAATGGAGGGTAAAAATGAAGAAAAAGCAGAAAATGAAGAGGAATTGAGCACCATTGCAGACAAAGATCCAATCTTTGCAGACGAACAAAGTGAAGAAAGTATGGCTGCACAGGTAAAGGATTTCGACCCGGACACAACAACCCAACAAGAAAACGAAGAGGAAAATCCAGAAATGGAGAAATCTGTGGCCCGAAAATCTTTCCACGAGCCCAAGAAAGACGAAGCAAGCCCGACGCTGCCTGAATGCCTGCTGCTAATGATGTGCGAGCCCAAGCTGTCGATGGAGGTTTCGAAGGAGACGTGGGTCTGCACCACGGACTTCATCCGGTGGCTACCGGAGCGGCCGCGCAAGGCGGCGGCCAAGGCCGGCAAGCCGGCCGCCGCCGGCAAAGAGAGTAGACTCAGCGCCGACTCCAGGCCCGCGGGCAGCAAGCTGCCGGGTGCAGCCAATAGCACGGAGCACCCCCGGCAGCCGCCGCGGTCGTCGTGCTCGCTGCCGGCGGCGGCGGCGGCGGCGTCGATGGCGGCGGTGATAGAGCAGAAGTTGGCAAGCGCGGTGGGGTACGAGCCGTTCGTGCTGACGAGGTGCAAGTCGGAGCCGATGAGGACGGCGGCGGCCAAGCTGATGCCGGAGTCGTGCTTCTGGAAGAACGCGATGAGGAAGATGGAGCCGCACGGGCGGTCTGCGCTGGGAGTCGGCGCGGCTGGGGTCGGGTTCTGAGCCGAGCCGAGCCGTTGGTTAGTTGCTGAGCTGGCATAAAATAATGAATCACGCATGTGGTGGGGAATCTTTGGGGTAGGGTGCAGTGCACAGTAACAGTACTTTTGCTTCTAAGGCATGTTTTTCCTGTGTGTGTAAATTCTTTTTTCTTTTCTTTTTATTTTTATTTTTTATTTTTGACCTTTTTGTCTATTTGTTTTAGATTTAAGATTTGATGATGATACTTGTTTTCTCCAATTTTTTTAAATTTTCATTTTAATTAGGGTGTCAGTTTTACATTGTGTTGAATCATGTTTGCTTATTTATTGTTCATCTCTTTATATTGTCAATTCACTAACGCTCATGTTGTTAGATAGGTCTAACAACAAAACAATACTACTGTTTTTAACATATATGCAAAATTTATATTCAAGTGTTATATCCGAAAAAAATACACTACTAAAAGTTTTACATGAATGTGGATGCACTAATAAGACCAAACAATCTCTACTCAGAAGGACAACTAGCATAACATGACAAAAAAGACTATTCAGGCCCAAGTTCAATGAACAAATTATTGTGCTACAATTACAAAGCCTATCTAATATATTTAAGTTTATCTTGGTCGCTTGCAATTTTCTTTCAATAATCTCCACTTAATAGTTTTCATTTTATTCTAATGACATTTATATTAAATTTGCCATTTTGTGATCCATAAACATGACACACTCTCCCTCAGTATTTCGAACTTTTACTTTAGAATCTGATATATGAATCCTTGTTTTAATTTTCAGTATGTTCAAGCTGTAAAGCTGCTATGACGCCCAAGTACAAACAACCATAAATATAATAAATGAACAACAGCCCCAACATAAGGATATGGATATCACAACACACACTTGTATATAATCCACACAATTATTTAATATAATACCCTCTTATTAAACCATAATTTACTAGGCAATCTAGCCACGTGCCATCATTAATACCTGCTAATCACAATTCTTTGCTGCATGAATTGGAGGCAAGCACATGAAATTAAAACAAAATACACAACAAGCTCAAGACTCCAGACAATTTTCATAAATACTTAATTGAAAAACTAAGTAATTTATGTGTGTGGAAGCACACAATATACAGGCTGGCCTAGCATTTATGTACATGTCTTGAGTGAAATTAGTCACCAAGATATGAAAAATAAATTCAACTTTTCGAAAGACGGTACGAAGAGCTTTTGGTAAAGGAATTAGAAGGTAATTGAGTCAAATATGGAGTGGGGTGAAAAAGACTGTCCCTTTTCCAAAAAACAATGGCATTTGGCATGTTGCATATCAAGATTCAAGACCCATCATCATGTTGCAAAGGGCAGTCCTCGACTAGCTTAGAGCTGTTATTTTAACCGAGTTGTTCGTGAACACAATTCAATTTGATATGTGAGAGTTCAAGCTAGCTCAACTCGCTCGTTTACTTAAACGAGTCGAACTCAGACAACTAATCGAGAGCTCGTTCAAGAATAATTTTTTTTTTTTTTCCTGAATTTGTTTATAGATTCCAAACGAATTGATGAGTCAAGTTTGACCGTGTTTACGAACGTAGATATTGTGTTTGCCAACAACTCGTTCATGATTTTAGAATAGATGAGTCAAGTTTGATCCTCAATTATTTCAATATATGTGTTTTGATTGATTGAAAATCCAATGTAATTTTATTGTATTAATATCATTTCGGACCTTGTATGCATGCACCTTCAAAAATATCACACTATAACAACAAGAGCAAAAGTCAAAAAGTAAAAGTGACCCATGTGTGTTTTTGGCTGTTGCACACGTCCTACTGAGATATGTTGACAAATTGTATTTAAAATTAACTAATTTATTTCATTTTTTTATATTTAAAAAAAGAAGAAGAGCATTTTCAGTTACATTTTACTTGAAATAGTCATGCTTATACATTGTAGCTAGTGGATTAACAGAATATTTTCTTGAATGATGAGTGTAATATTGTTCATTAATTTAATATTTTTTCCCATGAAATTCATACTTGAACTACAAAATGGGCTACCTTATTTGTTTTTAGCTAAGGGAAAATGGGCTTAGATTGTTGTTAGGAAAAGAATGGTAATCTCGTATCTACATATGCATGAGTTTTGGCCCTTTTGGTTGGTAGGAGAAAATTGGAATAGAACAACTAATGACAAATGTATTGACAAATTTATTTTTAATTACTTCTGATAGAAATTCTCTTTAATAAATAAAATTGTATATGCATTTGATTACATATCTCCATATATTTTTTNAAACATGGAGTATAATCAGGCTGGAGGGCAGTATTTCAATTAATATTATTATAATTCATGTTTGCTCCATTAATGTCACAACTTGAAATTAATTAAACCTCCAGAATAGAACATCCTATTAGCATTCACACCCAAAGGACTATATATTACATCACATTCTTACATTAATAGAAATAAATAAAATAAAAAATTATCACAATACACAATAGGAGCATTCTTTTGAAAGCTCAAACACGAATATTTTTACGAGCATACCATATACGTTGAATATAATATTCAATATTACGAGATTTCGACACGTGGCGCGTGATCACATTTTAACGTTGAGTATAATATTCAATATTACGAGATTTCGACACGTGGCGCGTGATCACATTTTAATGTGTCCACGTGGATGGATGGACGTATTATTTGTTGGATTTGTAAATAGACTATAGTTGATGTCTTCTTGCAATTACATGATAGTTAATTACCGTCTGATTAACTATGACAGGTCAATGTTCATACAATAAGTTGCCAATAATAAAGCTTCATTATAATCCAACTTGTCCTTGGTGTACAATTTGCATTCTATTCTCCTTTGTTTATCATTTTTCTTTTTCTTTTTTTTTTTCAATGGAATAAGTCGTTTACGATTTCTTAATGACTATGCACACTTGTTCAAAGTTGCACTAAAATGCTGGTTCCAAAATTAGCAACAACCAACATATTATATTTGTCTGTTGAGTTAGAAATGTATTTTAACATTTAGTAGAACTCTAAACGATCGAAGTGAGATCAAGCTCTTGATACTCGAACTCTAACTTTAGCCTTTATCGAACTGAAATCAAACAAGTTGACAAAAGATATTGAGTTTAACTCGTTTACCTATATAACAAATCAAACTTGAATCTTAATGAACCGACCTAAGCTAAAAGTTTTTAAAATTACATAAGAAAAACTCTTATTATCGAGCCTAGTGAACCTTTGTTAAGTAAACGAGCTCGAGCTCGACCAAATAATGGTACCTTTGTCTTACCCATTCATGTTTACACATTATATTAATTAAAGGTATTCTATGCTTACTTTCAATTTCTTACCAAGTTAGAGTTCAACAATATTGAATAGAATTATTAACACCCCACCCCACAAAAAAGAAAACAAAAACAAGCATTTTCCAGGCAATTGTGTACCAGATAATGAAATTCAACCGTGGACAAGAGCAATAGCCGCCTATACTTAGTTTAAACCAAACACAATATAAATATTTATACTTTATAGTTTATACTAAAAACCAAACACAACATAAATATTCCTAAACCACTGCAAAAACTGGAGAAAAGTAAACAAGGGAACAAAGCAATTATTCTCAAACTAAGGAGAAGAAGAAGAAGAAGAACAAGAAGAACAAGAAATGGTGTTAGGATGGAAAGAAGAACACTTAGATCTTGTCTTAGTCCCAAGTGGTCTGCTAATCATGTTTGGCTATCATCTTTTTCATCTTCACAAATGTCTTAACTGCCCCGAGACCACAGTCATCGGCTATGAAAACTACAGCCGGAGGATTTGGGTAGCAAGAATCTTGCAGGTCACAATCTCTTTTAACTTCATTTTATAATAAACTTGTTTTTTCAAGCCATTAGCCAAGAATCACCTTTTTTCTTTTTTCTTTCTTTTATTTTTTTGATGGGCTTAGCAGATCGAGCCCAAGGAGAGAGGCCAAGCAATAACCGTAATAGGCAGCAATATATCGGCCGCCACATCACTCGCCTCAATCTCCCTTACACTGAGCTCCATAATCGGGGCATTGATCGGGAGCTCATACCAAAACACCTACTTAAACAGGTCAATATACGGAAATATGAGTCCCACAGTTACTTACATCAAGTATATATCACTACTCGCGTGCTTCATGATAGCTTTCGCATGTTTCGTTCAGACAGCGAGGTGTTTTGTCCACGCAAATTTCCTCATAAGCATGCCGAATTGCAAGATGCCTGTGAAAAATGTCGAGAGCTCGGTTATTAAAGGAAGTACCTTTTGGGTTATCGGTTTGAGGTCGCTTTATTTTGCGGCCAATTTGTTGCTCTGGATTTTTGGGCCGATCCCAATGTTTGTGTGCTCGGTTTTCACGGTGGCGCTTTTGCGGTATTTGGATAGGAATGCGGGCCCACTGCCTCGTTTTGGAGAATCCGATAAGATGAACAAGGAAATGAGTGAAGTTGATGTAATGTATTGAGATTTTGATAGCTTGTTAAGAAATAAACGAAGATCATATAATCATATCGAGTATTACTAAATAACATAACTCTCAATTTGTACAAAAGATTATCATCGGATGGCATTTCCCTTTTTCCATATTGTTTATGTACTAATCTGAACTTTGATCTTCACTGGCTGCATTTATTTGAGAGCCGTCCGTAATATCACCCGATTTCGAATCAGATGAGCTTCTTGTTGATGGTATTTCACTTTCACTTTTGCTACTAGAATCTTCCATGAAGGAGTTAAAGGCTAGCTGACTTGAGTAAAGAAATAAACCGAGAGAATTAGCACCAAATACGAATGTGGCGAGGTAACACAAGCCGTTGATGATCGTCCTGTGCAGATGTGATTAAAAAAAAGGGCTTAATTAATAATTTAGTGACATTTCGAAATGAATGAGAATTTAGATTGCAGGTAATGAAAAATTTACCTTATGGTTATGGTTATCTGGCGGACCTGAAAATAGGATGAAAGACCATGCAAGACTCACAAAGTTAACAATTTCATGCTGAAAAATTATAATTTGTGATGAATATGATAGGTTATAAACTAATATACTTGAAGAACACACCGAGTAAGTATCCGAAATTGTTTGGCGATTGAGAGCATCTTCAACTGTTGTCGTGAATTTGAAAAGAATTACTGCAATCACGCCAGCTGTCACCGCACCTAAAAACGCTTGAATGGGAGAAGGCGGAGATTTGCTTCCGACTGGAGACAAAGTTACTGATTTTAAGCTCTCCACAGCTTCCTCAGTAAGTGATTTCTTTTCACCAGATGATCTAAATCTCTTTTTCAACAAAATCACCAGTTGATGAGAAAAACACTAAAAATATTTAACTTCTTTGACTAAACAAAAACATTGGTACTCTAAAGATGATCAGAATCTACAACAAGTTTTTAACTTTTCATACAGAACACTAGGCAAACTGTCTATAATCTTTTAACAGTATAATTCTTGAGATGACAATATCTGTTTTCACTAGAACAATCTACATTTTGTGAGACCCATAATCTCTTGTAACCATAAAATGCTTTACAGCCAACTGAGAAGGTTAAAACACAATATTAAAAGCTGCAATCAAATTTCGAAACAGCAGGGTCATAGCTAAAATTGTTCCCCAACAAAAATAAAGCTGAAGTTTTTACCAAACTCGTACGAATTATCACCAACACATGTAAGCAAGCTAATTTCTACAAAAACTTTTTGCGAATAAACAAAAATTAAGAATTACCGTTTCTTTGGCACGTTTCGCCCGCCGGCGGAGCGAGCGGAAGAGGAGCACAGTGATGGCGCCGGTGAGGAGGACGCTGGTGGCTGTCTGGAGCAGCGTAGGGTCGTCGGAGGTCGTGAAAATGTGGGGAGCTGAGGGAGAGAGCTCGATGGGTCCCTCCTGACCCGGATACGGCGGCGTCTCCGTGACGGCGGCGGTGGTGGGTTCTTCCGATAGTTGCGCAATCCATGTTTTCCGAGTAGTACACGGGGAATACTGACTGGTGGGTCTCAGGGGAAAATTGAGAGAATGAGAAGATGGGTACGGCGGAGATAGGAGGTTGGCGGCGGAGAAAGGGCGGAACTGCGGTGGAGTTAGCAACATTTGGTGGGCCGTGGGGGTTTATGTTCAGTGGGCTATGGCTGATCAGTTTCTTGATCCTTTTTTTCCTTTTTTATTTTATTTTATTTTATTTTTATTATCAATGGTCAGTTTGGTGTGGATGATATTATCATGAGAAATGTACAATCTTTAATGCATATCGTACAGTATACGTTAGCTAAAGAAGGTTATGGGATGTGGGAGTTGATGGGCTTAGCACCGAAACCTTGCCCTTTTGTTAGTTCATTATGGGCTTTGAGTGAGTACGATACTACTTTCATGATTGATTTGAATCTCCTCTTGAGAAAATTACTCCCACTATTATTCTTTTTATGATTATTTGTAAAAATACGATAACATAAACTTATCTTTACATCTACATTTTTCTTAACTAAAATCAATATGATGTGGCCGGCGGTTTTTTGACAGTATTTAATTAGGAAAATACAACTGCACAATCTTTTTCTCCCACCAAATCGATAAAGAAGAAACGTGGTTTCTTTCTCTCACCAAATCAAAGGCAATTCTGCATCTTCACCACCATCGAGACAAGAAACCAAAACATCACTAATTAAATCTCTTTTCCATAATCTTTGCCCAAAACTTTCTCCAAGTTTCAGAGCAACGGCGGTTTGTGCGAAGCGCCGCTTATTCGGTGTGGGGAATCAAGAAGGCACGCGAAGAAGTACCTATCGAAATCTGAAGTCGTCGGGATCGTGGTGCCGACTGTCTTTACGACAACCTTCATTTGCTTATTATTGGTGTACCTGATACTCAGAATATGGTAGAATTGGAGGAAGGTGGCGGTTTCTTGCTCTGGAAATGGCGCCGTGAAGAAAAATGGAGAAGATGAGTTTTATCGCGTTTCAGTGTTGTTTATATGTTGTTTATCTTATGTATAACTATATGGTTAATTTACATATTTTTTATATATTGTTTATCTTATATATATATACAGTATATCTGAACATGTTTTCATGAAGAAGAATTTGTTCGTTTTCAATCCTGATTGGAGCTTTATTTTTTTCAGTAGGATGGACGTTTTTTTTTTCGAATTCAAGATGTGGAAGAAAGAGAATTCCATTTGAATTATTAAATCCGTGAATCCCTTAATCATAGTTATCACATTTGGTAATTTTTTTTTTTTAATTTCTGTTTTGTTTGCTGTTCATTCGGGGAAATTGATTGCATGTTTGATTTATGGACAGAGAAACCTATAATTAGATGAGAGAAACTAATCTTGTAGATGTGAAAAATATATCACATCCAAATCCTATTTTGATTAAAGTTTGTTTGCTACGTAAAGATGTAAATATATCTTATAGACGCTCTATGTGTGTAAATTTCCCTTGAATATTTGTTAGAAAAGGTTATGGGTCATGGAAATTCATGGGCTTGAGATATGTAGTTTGCATTTTGTTATATTTATTATTAAAGTTATTAAATGAATGAGATATGTAGTTTGCATTTTGTTATATTTATTATTAAAGTTATTAAATGAACCAAAGTAGTCCGCATTTTGGTTCAACTTGTGAAAGTTTGATCTTTTTTTATTTGTTTTGAACAAAAGAGTTGAGCTCGAATGGCTAATTGAACTTGTTTATTAGACAAATTGAGCTTTATCCAAGAACTGCTCTTTTTTTTTTTTTCCATTTTGTATGGGCTTTAAATTAAACAATCGGATTGACTTGTTTACAAAATAGGCGTTTCATATTTGCCGAACAATTCATTAAGGTTTTGGAATTAATAAACAAGTGGGATCGAATTAAACCAACTCGTCTACAAAACGAGAACGAGTTCGAACATGAACTACTCACTTCTCGACTTGAACAACACCCCCAATTTATTATGGATCGTGAAATCTTGAGTTTAGGTAGTTTTATGTGTTTCTATCATTATTTCAGCAGTTAAATCCCTGCCTAAATAGAATTGTTTGGGATTTCCTAAAGTGCAATAAAATAGAGCTGCAAATGTTGATAACTTACCGGTTGTCGCTTTGCAATTTGTTAAAATGGCACACATCGTTGACACTTACACAATTGCATCTAGCAATCTACAAACTAATTATAAATTTGAGAAAGTCAGTTACTAATAAAAAGTTGCAAAAGTTTATATATACACTTGAGGCTGGTGACGCTGGTCAAATAATGGTTTGAACCAAAAGCAATATGATTTAGTCGAAATTCAAAAAGTTTATCAATAATATGATGAAATTTATGTATCATGATACGTGATAAATCTTGTATTATTTTGGAGTTTAATTTATATATTGGAGTATTTGATTTTAGTGTATTATTCAAGTTTTCTCACGTATTTTATTTTATGAACGGACATACACCAATATTCGATTTTATTTCTATTTTGCAGTTATTACACCTATTTGTGATGTGGTATTGAGGAGGTGGCAGCCATATAGATGATGACATGGGTTTAATTTTGACATGGCCAAGGACTTAAAAAGAAAAGAGACCTATTTTGTTCTAATTCTATGAGGAGTTGACCAAGTTTGACAAAGAAAATTAATTAATTCCCTTGGATGGTGTACTTATGCGGGAGTGCTGCTGAGGGATAGGAAATTGGGATATGGACTCTCATTTTATTGGCTAACTTGGCATGAGGAGTTTTTATTTGGTGGGAGACTTAGATTAATTAATTGGAAAGAGAAGGAAGAATTTTCTTGAAGAAGGGGGACTTGGCCGAGAGTGGTTGCGGGGCTCCACGGATTTATTTGTTTTGGGAAGATAATTCGGCCGAGGGATTTCAAAGGAGTTTGATTTAATTTTATTTGCTTTTCTTTATTTTGATTAAAGAACATGGATTATTATTTTTATTTTTATCATTTAGTTATGTGTAGCTAAACACTATTTCGGTTCTAGGGACGTTGAACCCTCGATGACTATGTTCGATTAATGCAATTTATTTCGTTTTACTCGTCGTATAAAATTGCTTGTGTTATTCTAGTTTCATGTCATAATGTGTGATTTTTAATTTAGCTTGATCACTTAAGTTAGGAATTGCATGTTAATTGCTAGATTTGAGGCTTCGATCCGTAATTGTCGTCGCTCTTATTTCCTTTGTAGCAACTAACAGTCGTGCATTGTCAGGGATAGGACAACATAAGTTACATGAACCGAGCTTATGTGTTTGTAGCTTAGATCGGTCTATTTTTCTAGATTTTAATGCGACTAGTGGGTTAAATTAAGAGAGCTTATTCCGAGTTATTCGCTAGTTAGAATTAATTGAAGAGCCTATTTCGATTAAGTATAAGTTAAGGGAAAATTCGGGTAGCAGAGCTTATTGCTATCTAGGACCGGTAGTTTTAGAAGACGAGTGAAATTTGATAAAAGCATTAATTGAGCTAGTTATTCGAGGGTGTAGACCGACCTGGAACCGATTCCATTCTCACATTTGCTAGATTATTTTTATTTATTTTCGGTTTCATCATCTTTGACATATAATTCATTTATTTTTAGTTTTAGTTTATTTCTTGTTTTGTTAGTAGTTTCGTAATAAATCAAATCTCCCAATTTTTTTAATCTAATTAATATAATAAATTCACTGTTTATACCACACTCCCTGTGGGATCGACCCTTGCTCGCCACTACTACTAGTTAGTAGGAATAAGTTAAGAAAAATTATAAATTTAAATTTACCGCGTTGCGACGCACGGTTATATCATCATTTCATCACTTAAAAAGATATATTATTTCTATCATCACCAGTTAGTTGTAACGAAATTTTAGCTATTTC